CTAAAAAAAAATAATACAAATAAGTTAAAGAAAAAAAGGGGTATAATCACAGAGTGAAAAAAGCTTAGTACAGGTAATACAGTTTTCCATTTAAATGCAACACCACTACTGGAATGTAAGCGCACAATACAAACTTAGTAAAAAAAAAAAATTGTAAGACTCATCTACTTTACTTTAATTTCTTTAATTTCAACTTTAATTTCAAACAATACAAAAGATAAAAAAACCAATAATATTTGTAACTAGTAGCTTAATGGTATTAAGCACTAAATTGTCCTAAACTCTTTACCTAAACAAAACTCAAAATACTGGTAATGCTTTTAAAGAAAAATACTAATTGAAATTACTAAGTTAGCTAGAGCTAGAGTTGGCTAATTTATCCATAGTACACCACTGCTTTTTGCAAACGTTTTGCAAGAACCAAAATTATTCCTGAGTTAAACCTGAGTTCACCCCAAAAAATAAAACATTAACACAAAGCAATATTTATCAACAATATATGCATTAAAACCAAAATATAAATTCTATGTGACACAAGCCGCTAACTAAACCTTTACACTTAAAGAATAAAATAGAACACTTAAAAATTCCAAATAAGCACTTAAATTCCAAAGTAATAGCAAAAGTAATAACATACATAACATGATAAATGATGGATCATCAGAAATGGATCTAAGTAAAATCTGTTTCTGGTGATTCCCAAGAAAAATAAAATTAAAAAAAAAAAAAATCTTTAACATTAGCTGTTACATATGTAACTGTAAATATTAGATAAATATTATTATTTTAATTAAAAAATAATAACTTAAGTGACAAAAAAATGATTTACCTGTAACGCGTTTTTTGATCAGATCACAAGCACTCATGTAGCTTTCTTTTTTTTCATTACTTGATACACTAAAATTTTGAGAAGATTCCATATCGGAATCAATACTGATATTGTTTGTTGAAATCTCCTTTAATATTAAAAAATAATCAATGATGAGAATACTGAAACAAATAAAAACATTTTTTGTCTATAAACTTTTATACATACATGGTAACCTTCCCACCACACAACAGGAAAAGCTATCTTGATACCTTTATCATCAGGAGGTCTAATGTGTAACACAAACGGAAACTTGAAAAATGTAAGAAATAGAAGTTAAAGTAATAATATTTTCAAAGTTTGAACTTTGTGTAAGATGCAAGTTAAAGTTACACATGTTACTTAAAATAAACACAAAATTAGAAAAAATGTGTTCTCTATAATAAAATGATACTGGATTTTAAAATTCAACTTTAACAGATTGCTCAAGACCATTACTTATTTTACAGGTCCCTAAAAATATTCAAAATTAACCTTATATAGTATTGAATTAACCAGTAATCCTTAACCAGCTTAAAAGTATTTAATTTGGTTCAAAAATTAAATTTAAGAATTTTTTAAAATTAAATTTGACAAAGAGATATTTTTAAAAATTTAAATGAAAAGATATAAAGCACCACTCAGCCATATGCGACGCGAAAGATCATGCTGCAGCAAACATAAAACAACCAACAAATGCTTCAGCTAAATGTAAAAAAAAAATTATTAATATCATAATAACTCCAAAATAAAAACAATTCTATAAAGTTTACCAACCTGCTTTATGTAGTCAGGTTGTACAGGACCAAACCAATAACCTTTTATTAATGCCCAAATTAAATTCTCCATACAAGGTTGAATTTCAAAATCCTATAAAAAAAAAATCCAAGTCAGATTTCCTTAAATTTTTTTAAATAAATATATAAAACAAAATATATCAAAATATATTTTTTTTAATAAATATATAAAACAAAATATATCAAGAATATTATATGTATTAAAAAAGTATTTGAGATAATACCTCAAGACATATCCATAAAAGCTCCAAAATTTGTTTGATTCCTGTTTGCATTTCAAATGGTGCTTCAATATTACATGAATCCAACAGCATAGGAAGAATCATAGCCTCAACAATATAAGCACATGAAGGTTCTAACTAAATAAAATACACAAAAATAACACAGTTACTTATAAAAGATTTAACACTTATTAAGGACCTGCTTAATATTATAAGTACAAATGAACTTTTAAACACACCATCATTGGACCTAGCTGCTCAAATATATGAGATACTGTCAAGACTGTATATGAATCTTGTTTTGACAAGAAGGGTTGAGGAATTTGTGGAATCCTTGTTGGCTAACAAAAAAAAAATTAATAAAAAATGTAACATTTTAAATGTTATAAAAATCATTTAAAATAGAAAATAAAAGAAGTCAAATAAAAAAAGTGAAACTGAAAATATAAAAATTAAACTTAAATAAAAAATTATAACAAAAGAAAATATATTAAATACAGATATTATTTTTGTAAAAAAAAAATTATTTATTCTATATTATTAACAATTTATATTTTCATTTATATTTCTATAGTTGCTGATTGTTATAATACTTATCTGTTATTTATAAAATTTGTTTCTCAATGTTAAAAATTTTTGAGTTTAGAAAGATTTTTGAATTTTAAAGAGGTTTTTTGAAAACTCAAGAAAATTTTAAAATAGTCTTTTTGAAGGTTTTAAATCTTTTGAAGCTTTTAAATCATTTTTTCAAATTTCAGGAAAATTTCAGAGTCACAAAAAAGATTAGAACTTATTTCTTATAAGACAAAAATAAAAAAAAATAAAAAAAACAACTTGTCATACAGTATAATTAAAATTTTTGATTTTGGTCTTTTAATTACTATTTATCTTTTCCATTTATTTTATTATTTCTTTTAAATTTTATTTATAATAATTTGTTTTTGTAACTCTCAAACTTTGAAACTATTGTATCTTAATACACCATTTTTGACAGAGGTTAACACTGATACATAAACATTTGTATGACTATTATAAAATTTTTGTAAATAATAAATTAAAATAAAAGACTCTTACTGCTGGGAGCAATCTGTTAAGAGATGCAATTAATTCTTGGGCCTTTAGTAAATCATGATGAGGTTTGTCTTGCAGTGGAGAGAAACCCTCAATGTGGTATCTTTAACAATATAAAATTAAATAGTTAAAACTAGTTAAAAAGATTTGTTATAAAACCTGTTTAAAATTAATGTCAATCAAAAACTACCAAGTTTATTTCTAAAGCAATCCATGTACACTTTTGCTTCGTACAGAAGCATTCATATATGTGTATGTATATATATATATATATATATATATATATATATATATATATATATATATATATATATATATATATATATATATATATATATATATATATATATATATATACAAATAGTATTGCGTACTAAGGTAAGCAATCTGACATCATACTGAAATAGCCTGCTGCTGGGGGCTTCAGTACATACATCAACTGACAAATAGCCTGACTTGCAGTGGAGTGCTGCTACATCGACTGAGGGTTTGGCAATCGTTTTATTTATCATTCTTCATTTTTTCTTCTTCTTTTTCAAAAAAAACGGTATAGCTTAAAGTAAGCAGAAAAAGTGAGCAAATGCTTATCAAAACACGCTTTAGTAAGTGTATATATATATATATATATATATATATATATATATATATATATATATATATATATATATATATATATATATATATATATATATATATATATATATATATATATAATGATTATGGTGTCCCAAAAAGGAAAATATTTAAAAAACATATGCTGCCATCCCCTTAATGTGTTCTTTATGATAAAAAACACTGAATCTAAATATTTTTTGAATAAAAAACATTTTTAGGTCCCTCTCCCCCTAATATTATCAACAAAAAAAAAAGTTCTTTAAAAGTGTATCATGTTGGGTCTCAAATGATAAAGCAGAATTATATGAAAATTTAAAAAATGATAACTATATTTATAAAAAAAATAGTTAGATTTAACAGCATATAAAATAAAGTTTATTAACTAAAAAATGAAAAAAAGTGCATTTTTACCAATATTTTGACACTAATTTTTTTTCTCAATAAGAAATGCACAATTATATACCTATAATATAATTATAATATCAAATAATATAATAAGCATCAGATATGCATAAATATAACAAGATATCGATTTATACTCTTAGATTTATTTTTCAATCAAAAATTTCTTTTTAATAAAAATTAAATAGAAAAATACGAAATCTAATTCCAACATCTCAAAACAAAACCATTTCTATTCAAGTTTTTACATAAATGCATTCAAGTGTGATGATTGTATATATTGTTATTCATAATTATTTAACTTTGATAAATATCAAAACTATGCAGTTTTCCTTCATTTGCGTCTATGCGGTTCTGCCCCAGAGGTGAGTTTTTAGAAAGAGTACAGTTTCATAGCTTGCTTATTAGGTTATGTTGATATAAAAAACAGTTTTCACTTGATGAAATAACACTAAAAACACATATCCTGAACACTAAAATCAAGTATTGCTTAACTCTTAAAAAAAAGGTCTGGAAAAATATGATGTAAACATAATATTTTTATCAAAATAAACATTATTAGGCACAACTTCTCAGAAACCCATCAGGCACTTTTTTTAACATAAGCAAAATGAAGGAAACTGTTTTACTAATGCATGGCATTTTTTTTGCCATATTAGATATAATAACATTTTTCAAAGGGAAATATTAAAAAATGGTTGTGCCTCCATATGCAATTATGCCCCCACTTCCCCTATATATAAAACTGCATATATATATATATATATATATATATATATATATATATATATATATATATATACATATATATATATATATATATATATATATATATATATATATATACAGTTATATATATATATATATATATACAGTTATATATATATATATATATATACAGTTATATATATAGCCAAAGATCTTCTACTTCTATTTATTATTAAAACTCTGCTTGACGTTTTTTATGGATAAACCTTTACACCATTATGTACTAAATAGTGTCCTCAAAGAAGTGTTTTAAAAATAGAAAAATAGAAAAGACTTGAAAATAATAAACACAAGCTCATTAATTTCAATTTTCTTTAGACATAAATTGCATAGTGAAATAAAGTTACAATTACAAAATCTCAGCAAAAACAACAACAAAAGTCATTTAATTACAAAAAAATATTAATAAACTGCAAATATTAAAAAAATATTTGCAGTGACTCCAGTATTCTTAATTATTTAAGCAAGAAGTGACTCCAGTTTTTATTTACGTTTTAATATACGTATTTAATTTACGTTTTAAATAAAAGCAAGCAGTAAAGTAAAGAAACCTATTTTCCTTGTTAAATAAATTTTTAGTACCAGTATTTTATAATCATAAAACATTTTTTGTATTTAACTTATATTTAAAAGGTGTTTAAAAGTTAGTCGAAAAAAGATAGTAGATAAGTAAAAAATGATTTTAGCTAATGGGATCACATAATTCAGTTGATATAAAATACCAAACAAAAAAAGATAAACAATAGGCTGGGTGAATAAAAAAAAGCAATTGCTTTTACTTAGTAATTGGTCAGGTTTAAGTGAATAAAAACTTCTATTCATGTAAAATTGAACAACTACTTTGCGTTTTGGAAGTAAATTACTTAGCTTTATATGAATAAAAATTTGAGACTGAATTTTTACTCAACTCAAGCTGAACAACTTTACTCCAAAAACGCTGAGTAAAAGCAATTGCTTTTTTTTATTCACCTGGCCTAATAACTAAAAGACTTACCATATTTTGATCAATTGGGAATACTGCATCAATTTTTTGAGCATTTGGGAATACCGCGTTTGACGGGGCCCCATAGGGCTAGTTTACACCTTGATATATATGCATATATATATATATATATATATATATATATATATATATATATATATATATATATTTTTATATATATATATATATACACACACATATATATATATATATATATACATACATATACAGTAGCTTTCATAAATTTAGATGCATTCATTTTTTTTTTCTTATATGTAAGAAAATACTCAAAATAAAAATAAAATAAAAGTCCTACCGCTATGTTTGATATATAATTTAAAAGAGGAAATGAAACTCTATTATAGAGTACCTTAATTTTTTTTACAGGATGTTTGTTACTCATTTTATACCGATTAACACAAAAAAGTTAATTGATAAACTTGATTTTATTTTGTTCATAAATTTAGACGCACAATTAAAAAAGTCTTATATCTTGTTAATTGATAGTTAATTAGTAGTTTTTTTCTTATATTTCTTATTAATAGGCCTAAATTAATTGATTTTGTCAAAAAACCTTATATAAATATGACTTACCTTGAATTATTTAATCATTATTTAATAAATAAACAAAAGTTAAGTTAGTTTTGCACTAAAAAAACGTAAAAAATGGGCAAAAGACATATCACTCAAGGTGAAAGATGGCAAATTAGTGCGCACATCAAAGAAGGAACCAAAAGTAATAGAGAAATCGCCAAGTTAATTGGAGTTTCTGAGAAATGCGTTCGGACAACGAAACAAAACTTTCTTCACACTGGTGGTGCCAGCGAGAAAACGAGGCCAGGTAGACCCTTGTCAACCACGAGAAAGGATGATAGTGTTCTTTTTAGAGCTGCCAGAGCTAATCCAAGAATTAGTTACAAAGAATTGACCACAGAATTCAATACAACGCGAAATACATCTATTTCTCAAAGCACAGCCTGCCGAATACTTATCAAATACAAGATTGGAGTCTACACTGCTTTGAAGAAACCGCTTCTGCGTCCATATGATAAACAAAGGAGACTAAAATGGTGTCGTGAAAGAAGATATTGGACAATAGATCAATGGGAAAACATTATGTGGAGTGATGAGAGTAACTTTGAGCTTATCAATCGCAAATCTAACATAACAGTCAAAAGAATGGCTCATGAAAAGTATTACGCCAGGTACATTAGACCAACTGTACAAAGTGGAGGAGGCTCGATAGGAATCTGGTCATGCTTCAATTACAAAAGTGTTAGTATGTGCCAAACATACACCGGAAGAATCAACTCCAGAATATACGTAGAAGTACTGGAAAACAACCTAATTCCATCAATTGACCTGCTTATGCTCAATGATAAACCATGGAAACTTCAACAAGATAGCGCTACTGCACATACTGCATACTATACAAAGGAGTGGTTCAACAATAATAATATTATGACAATACTGTGGCCTCCATATTCACCTGATTTGAACCCGATTAAAAACATTTGGGCTTAGATTGATCGTGAATTAGCAAAGGTTCAAATTTCCACACTTGGTCAGCTGAAGGAATTCCTTAAGGAGACCTGGTATGGGATCCCAGAAGCGATGTGCAAAAATCTTGTTGAGTCTATGCCTAGAAGAGTTCTTAGTTGTATTAAAGCAAAAGGCGGATACACAAAATATTGATTGGTTCATAAATTACGCCTTCTAATGTATCGTGCGTCTAAATTTATGAATAATTTTTTTTGTTTAATTTTTTTAATACAATGTAGTTGTACCTAATTATTACTTAGTATTTCATTTTTTTTGTAAACTTTTTTTACATTTTGTATTCTGTATGTATTTATCTGATAAATAGAAAAAAAACTAAACCGAAATCTTTTTTCGTCATTGTTTTATCGTTAAAATACCTAAAATTTTCTTTTCTCAAATATGAGTGCGTCTAAATTTATGAAAACCACTGTATAAATATATATATATATATATATATATATATACATATATATATATATATATATATATATATATATATATATATATATATATATATATATATATATATCAGGGGCTATTCTAGACCGTTTTCGACAGCGTCGACCATATTTGGTCACCACCCAAATTAAAATTTGAGGACCTTTTTTTTTTAACGTTTTTTTTTTTACGCTTTTACGGCAAATATTATTCTTTTTTGCAAAAAAAAATGCTCTAGAATAGGCGCTGTATATATATATATATATATATATATATATAAATATATATATATATATATATATATATATATATATATATATATATATATATATATATATATATAAATAAATACATATTGAACCTAAGTGAAAAAACTTTCTTTACCTAAAAGGTGTTGCACCAAAGTTCATTTGTATAACCTCTCCATAGGAAAGACTTACAGCAGGAAAATAAGCATATCCCTCCCCACGCTTGATATCTTCAAATGCATTACCCATCAAACAACCATTTCTGCAAAAAAAAAAATTTCAACTTTAAAATGTTTACCCAATAATTCTGGTTTTTAACTATTGTAACTTTATAATTGTAAATAAAACAAAATCATATAAATGAAAATATAAATATAAAATTATTTAAATTTTAGTGAAATATTATTGGAACAATTTTTGATATTAAAATAAAATAAATAAACTTAAACTCAATAATAAAACAAATGCAATGAATAACCCTGACAGATGCAATGAATAATTTTAAATAAGAATATTTAGGGAATATCAATCGATAAGTACCAAGTTGGGTACCAAGTTTTATCTGTATGGAGAAAAAGATGTAAGTAAAAAGGATGTTTATGAGAAGATTGTATGAAAAAACAATAATCATCACACCTTGAATGAAAAAATAATAATCATCACACCCACTACCATTTTATCAATTGTTAGCAGAACCTCTGCATCTTTTTTTTCCAAAATCAATGATCAATTATTTGTAAATTATTTCACAATTGCGGTGAAAATATTTTTTACAAATATTAATTTCAACTTAAACAAACGCTACTCAAACTATATCAAAATTGAAATATTCCGATAAATAAAAGGCTTTATGTAAATGGCTAAACGTCTAGGTAATACCACCATTGTGTACATAAAGTGTGTACAGTGTAATTCTTTTTAACAAGGCCTGCAACTGTGGTGTTGTTTTTCCTTAAATTTTTGGGTTGTAAGATGGAGATTTAAGTTTTGCTTTCCCAGTTGACCATATTAAACAGTTACAAACGGAGTCTCATGCAACAGGACAATTTTTAATATTTGAGAAAGTCAAAATGCTTTGGGTGAGCTTAAAGCTTTTCTTTTTCAAGCATCCTAAGGGAGGCTAAAATTACAAATGCCAGTTAAGAATCTTGGATCATGAAAATCAATTGGTTGCATCAGATTTTTTTTTAATTTTTTATTCATAGAACTTATTAATAAATGCATGCTCTTGTGGAGGACACAAAATGCAAACAATCTTCCTGTTCACCTTGTGGTTTTTAGTGTGATTTGGCATTATTTTTCATTTGCTTAGAGGCCAAATTTATGAAAATATTTTCATACTATATACTTATTCTGCTAATGATCCCCTTTCCTTATTAGGCAAGCCCCAAAAACACATTGTAAACAAAGTTAGACCTACTTTATCTACCAGGCTTGAACCACTTTTCCATTGTGGTAAAGTTGCATCTCTTTCTTTTTTCTACAAATACTATCTTGGTAACTGCTCAAAGGAGCTATCATCTCTAGTTCCATCAACCAAAACTCATCTTTTACATCTTTTACTCTACTTGTACTGTATCAGCCCCTTCATGCTCTAAAAACTAAAATTTGCCTAGCTTTTTTCCTCGCACTTCAACCCTCTCCAATCTTCATGTTTTTTCCTGACTTATACAACCTACAACTTTTCAAGTCTTCTGTCAATCGTTTCTATGCTCTTTAACTTTACTCTGTTTTCTAGTAGCTCCCAACTTAATAGTAGTCGTCTGCTGCTTTAGTGGGAGTGAATTAGAATTGAAAAAAAAAAAAAAATTGTTTTTCTGAACAGCGGCTTTGATTGTCATAGGCTTAAAGAGAGAATTACAAGAACAACAATAAAAATAGGTAGCTTCCATGACAGTAATGGTGCTTTAGCATGATGAAGATTAAAAAATTTGAAGATTATGGTTAATAGCCAAGTAAGTTTGAAGAAAACTCCTATTAAGGAGATAAACTCCTATTAAGGAGATTTACTTAGAAAAAAGAATATTATTAATAACACTCTAATAAGAATTTTTTTTTTAATAGTCAAGATTTTTCAAGATTTCAAGAGTCAAAACTCCAATTTTAGCAGCGGTTAAAGTAACTTATATTTTTGATTGTATAAAAAGTTAGTTTTTTTTTACCTGCTATAAGAAATATTTCCTTCATCCATGTCTATAAGGCATCCAATTACATCACCTGCCATCCATTCCTAGAATAAAATTATTCTTAATAGGTATAAAATGATAATTTGAGCACCAACATTATTCTTAATAGGTATAAAATGATTAACTTTGAGCACCAACATGGCTGCAAGCAACCACTAATTATGTTACTTGTCATGTTGAAATCAGTTAACTATTGATTGCATGTTGAGATCAGTTAACTTTTATATATAATAAATATATTATATATGTAGGGGAGAGTTGCTGAAATCAGGACAGGGTCATAACCAGAACACTTGCATTTATTTTAGAAATAAAATTTTATAATAAAACATTTTATTTTCTATATTTTTAAAGAAATTTTGAAAGTTATTAATCAAAAAATGCAAATGCACCATTAATTTATAGCCTTTTATATTATATATTATATATCATCTATTTCATGAACTTTGCACTATATTGATTGCACCAGATAAAATATACTGCTGTGGATTATAAGGTTTTTCATGTTTAATGCAATGGGATTTAAAATGCAAGTGATAACATAAACCTATCTTATAAGTTACTGCAAGCATGATATTAAAAAATAGTTCAAAGTTTCCTTGATTGGAACTGTAAAGTTTTCTTTTCAGTGGTAAAATCAAAAGGTTAAAGAAATAGTTCAGGCTCAATTTAAATACAAATAGTTACAATCATAAGCCTCTACCTTTATTTAGTGATTTTAATTTATTATTTGTATAATTTTATTTTTTTTCAGGACATTTTAATCCAATTATAAGTTTTGAATGAATTGTTTAAATTATCACTGTAAAGAAAATAAAAAAAACTTTTATTGAATTGAGGTTTATTTCAAAGAAGCTGTTCCAATTATTTAAGTCAAAGTGTTTAAAATTAGAAAACCAGTTGCCTTGATTGGAACAAAATGGTGCCTTTACAAAACCAAATATCAAAATTAAAAGTATAGGTTTTTTTTTTTGTATCAAATCATAAATAGTTAAGTCATCTTGTGAAGTGAAAAAATTCCTTAAGTGAAAAAATTCCTTAAGTGAAAAAACTCCTTAAGTGTTCTAATTTTGTCAACTCCTCCCTAACAGTATTATTATAAAACATACTAACAATAATTAGCTTATGATTAAATAAATTAAAGAACATTTAAATAAAGATGTGGGCTTTAATTTTACTATATACCATATACTTAATTCATATAATTTTTATTAATTTATATAAACATTATGTTTATTTTTAAAAAGCAGAAGAAGCCTTGTTTTTTTTTTTTAAATTATTGTTACTACTAATCAAGACTCCAAAATATGAACCTGACAAAAAAAGTCAGTGAGTAAAGAAACAAGATAAGCTATGTACTACCATGGATACTATCATGAACTATAACACTATCAAGGTTCCCATCGATATTATGGATACCATGGATACAATCATGGACTATATCACTATTAAGGTTCAATCCATAGTAATACTAAACTTTTTTAAGTTTTTTTTTTCAATTTAACTTATTAAACTTGACTTGTTTCTTTATTCACTGACCTTATTTGGCATGGTTCATGTTATTAGGAACATTATTATAAGCAATAATGCTCATAATATATAGTGAACCAAGAATGAAAACAACTCATTTTGAAATGAAGTGGTGACTTATTCAGAAAAATTTCGCTGGTTTAAAGCTGCATACTTAAAGTAGTTTAATTTAATGTCTGCAATTTTACATTTAAAATTGTATGAATCATTCAAAATATGAGATCAAAATATAATTAGTGTTTTTTTCTATGTGCAAAGAAAAAAAACTAATTAAATCGTATTCATAATATGCAAGGTTTAAAAATTAAATATTTTTAATGTTCCTCATCATTTATTTGATAAAATAATTAGTCAACTTCTTATACCATTTTATCTGAACTTGTGCATCTGAAAAGAATTCCAAATATTTTAAAATTATTTCTCAACTCCTCTGATTGAAAATTCAAGTTGTTAAAATTAATGTACACTACTCTTATTTGTTGTCAAATAAGAGATAAATGACATATGTAATCATCGTCCCACAATTTTTTATATTTTTCATGCTGCTCATGGTTTGACCTGTTTCTTCGTATGTTTTTTTTTTATGCAGTTACAATCATAGATTATCCTAGTCATGTTTTAAAAATCCGGAAAATAATTTGGAAAAAATATCCGGAAAAAATCCCGAATTTGTTTTCTCTTATTTTCTTTTTAATTTCGCTTTTAGTTAAGTTGTTTCTAATTTTTTTTTGTTATTGTTCATAATTTTTTTTAAGTGATGAGTGAAAAAGCTTAAAAAATAAATATATTACAAAAATATATAACTCAACTTGCATGTATTGAAAATATCTTTAATAACCGGAAAAACTAAAAGTTGAAAAAAATATCCGGAATTCTGGAAATATCCGGAAAAAGATAATCCCTGTACAATCTCAATTATGCAGCTATTAATCTCGTTTATGCAACTTTTAATCTCAATTATAAATATAGTAGTTTCTTAACAATTTTTTCAGAATCTGCATAAAAAACATTATCAACATTTATTGCATTTATTTTTTTCTCTAAACATTGCAAGTATTTATAAAAAGCAAAAACTATACTAATTAATCACAAAGGATAAACAAACAAACAAAGCTATGTCTGGTTTTGAGCCTTGAACTAAACATTCAACTTATTCAATCACTTACGATTAATTGATGTCATTTTTAACTGGAAGTGACATTATTTGATAGCTTTTAATTTGGAAGTGAGATTAATAAGGAAAAAGTAATATTAAAAGAAAATTAGTAACTTTGTTAGTTATTTTCAAATAAAAATAAACCACAACATATGAGAATGAAAACGAACAGATAATGATACAAATAAACAAATTAAAACAACTTTATTTATTTGTAATTCTCTTTAATAAATACCTCTCCATATTTTCCAGTTGACATATTCCATTTACGTACACGATGACCATCATAAGCATACGAGTCTGATGTATCACCAACACCTTCCTTACAAAAATAAAAAATAAACAAATACATAAAAAAATAAATAATAATAAAAAAGAACAATATAATTCAAATCTGCAGAATATATTGATAATAATCTTCAAAATATATAGAATTAAACTAAAAAATTTAACTTCAGAATTAAACTAATAAAATTAACTGTGAGTGTGTGAATAGTTTTTAAGTTGGTTCAATACTTTATAAATGCATATTATGTCTAGTCAAATAAATAACAACTTAATAGCTTTTGGTAGACTAAACAAACTAATCTAATCTGTCTTTGCGATTGAGCCTAATAATCAAACTTCACCTTTATTTACCAAACACAAATTTGCCTAACTTTTTTCTTTGATTATAAGACTGAAATTGCCTTGTTACTTACTCTCAATGGTTATACTTCTGTGCCATCCAAAAGAATTAAAATGTTAAAAATAAGTTTATGTAGTATCTACTACTCATAATTTTATATTAAACAGTCAGCTGTCAATTTTATGTCAGCATGGATTTTTAAAGAATAATTCTGTGTCAAAAACATAATGATAATGATGAAATACAATATTGTATATATATTGCAATATATCATGCAAGCTTTATGCTGAAATTTTATTCTTGATTTTGCTGTAGGTTTTTACAAAGTTTCTTGCATAAAACTGCTTGAAAAACTTGAATCCAATGGAATTGAAAACTAATATTTAGTGAACTAAATTTTTTTTTAACAGTATTTAAAATAACTTTCTAGGAAATGTAACATCAAAATTGGAAAAAGTCCTTAGCGATATTTCTCAAGGTTCTTGGTTCAACACTATTTACAATCTCTAATAACAATTTACCAGACAAAAAACAAAATAGAAAATAAAAACAATTAAGCTAACTGGCATATAGATTCAATTAACACTCTCTCCAGCTAAAAGATTCCATCACAACATTGTAAAATCAATAACAACTGCCATGTTTGCTATAACTTTTTTTAAAACTGTGTGGCATACATGAAACACTCAACTAGACAATCTCACAAATACCACTTCAGTCAAAAATTTAATGTTGGACAAGCATTAAAATCAACCTGAAACCATTTTAGGTCAGCATCAGGTCTGCGAAAATGTTTAGTGTTGGTGAACTCAGCATTTGTTTTTCTGCCAATTTTATGATCCTTTTTTTAACTTAAATGCCCCCTCCAAGCAATTCGAGAGTGTTGGCTTTTTGGTAGTATCACCAGCAAACAATACAACCTTAGGTGTGAAAATTTCTGGGAGATCATTAATGTAAATTAAAAAAAGTATAGGTCCAAGGAAAGAATCTTAAGGAACCTCTGAAGTTACAGAATATGAAGAAGAGTGCTGTCCATCAAGGACAACTTTTATACTACTATTAGTAAGAAAGGATTCAATAATCTTAAAGATGTTACCTGATACATCGTAAGAAGTAAGCTTATGGAAAAGTGCATCATGCCAAACTTTATCAAAGGTTAAGAGTCTTGTTTTATAGCAGGCTATAAAACAAGACTCTAACAAGCACTTGTTAATTAGTTTTGAAAGTATAAACAACATCTCCAGAGAACACTTCTGCAAGATTAAAACAGGTATGTTGTCCAGACCACAAGCTGTAGAAGAGTATAAGCATGGAACCACTTTAGAAACAAAAGCTGTCAAGCAATAGATAAACCTGTTTGTCAGTTATACAGGTAGGGTGTGATTGGTGGAATCAAGAGATGAGATTGATAAAAGGTTTTGAGCAAACAATTCAACTTTTTCTTTAGGTGAAGTAACAAAATATGAACCATGCAAGAGCGGAGGAATAACAGATTTGTCTTTATATTATTATATATTATTTGATGTTGTATTCAAATAGCCATTTGTGGGGGGCTTTAGTAGAAAAAAGTTGAAAATTTTGATTTACCAACATCCCTAAATTTATAGTTCCTCATTCATAATCTGTATTTTAAATTTTAAATACTTGGAACTGTATATAAAATTAGTAATAGATTTTATATTTAGGGGTCGCCAATCAAGTACAAATGTTAAAAATTTAGAAATTGGACCCTTTTTCCCTCTGTTGCTATGTGAACTTTTAAGTCCTCCCTCTTCTTAAAAGTAAGTACACATTTAAAATCCTCCCCCCCCCCATCCCTGTGGATGAACTGAAATGTTTAATTTAGAGTTAAATGTTTAAATTAGAGTGAGTTTTTAAAAGTTGATCATACACCCCCCTCTTCATTACTTTATTGAATGTATTTTGCAATCCCTCTTTACCTTAATTTCATCTAGATAATTTCTACAACCCCAAAACCCATGGTTTTGGCACCGGATCCCAATTTTAAAGACATAAATATGTCTACAAATATATATAAAATATATTAAGGATAACTATATGACAGGACGCGCAAGGTCAATTTTCTGACTTTATTTGTTATTTGTTTAAAAACATTTAGATATTAACCAGTACTTGTTAATTGTGATAAATTAAAAAAAAAACATTACTAAGGAATTTTTTTAAATAGTGCGTACTTTTATATTAACCCCTATCCTCCTCTCCATATGCCTTTGTACAGTATTTGAAGACCCCTCCCCCTATGAGCATATGTACTTTATGGACGGCCCCCTATAAGATGTTATTATGTTATAAATTTATATAAGAAAGTTTTTAAGAAATGTATTATTAAAAATTTAATGTTAAATAAAAACAACTGTTCTAAACAAACAAAAAAATTGTTATTGTTATTATTTACTTGATTAGTAAAACGACATCGAATTGTAGCCCAACCAAGTTGCATTATACCTTTAGATCCTAACAGCACCTCATACATCCATTTTCCTGATGGGAATAAAAAAAATTACTTACACTATTATTTTTAATACTAACTTTTTATTCTATAAAAATACTATCTTTAACTTAACTTTTGAAATTGTCATTCAAGTAGAAAAAAGTAGGATAAAAAGTTAAAAGAAAAAAATTATACTGATGATCACAATATTTATTCTAAAGTTTTGAATCATAAAATAATAAATAGTACTACATGTATTTTAAAAGCCAAAAAAAATGGGGTAAAAAAAGTTGGTATAAAAAACTGGTACATGGTAAAGGTATTTTAAAAATATAATACATAATACTTTGGTTTTTTGAAAATAATTTGAATATCTCAAATTAATTATTTTTGACTTCCACAATATATGTGAATGTGATGGAAATCTGATAATGATTTGATGCACAAATTGAGGAACAAAGAATACTAAAATAAATTGAGGAACAAAGTATACTAAAATAAATTGAGGAACAAAGAATACTAAAATTGACACTTTATATTTGATTTTTTGTTATATTTGACGAACTTTTAAAAAATTGAATTTGATTAGCCGTTTATTTAGAATTTAATATAGGTTGTTTTTGATTCAATAATTTATTTTATTACTTTGTATCAATGCACGTCATTAGTTACTTTAAAAAAAAACTTCTGCACATTGTTTGGTTAACAATTCTAGTTTGATTTACTATTCTAGAGAGAAACATAATGGGAACACACATACATAAACATAACTTATGTTTGTATATTAAGAAGACAAATGATTAATATAAAGATAAACATCATTTATAACTAAAATTTATTATTCAAGATATACCTTTGAATACACACACGTTAGCACGAACACTGCTAAAGTTGCTTTGACTCTCCAACTGGAAAAAAAATTTCATTAAAGCTGCAACAGAATTTGAAAATTCTGTGAAAAAAAGTAATCAAATTAATTAAAATTGTGTAAAAATAAACCTCTCTCTTGTAGCCTTTTCAAGAGATAACAATAAAAATTTCTATAAATACAGTTTATAAAAATTTTATTGACTGCTTAACATATAAAGGCCCTTCTGGGATTATTTTTTTTTTATCTTTGTACCAAAGTATATAACATAATATACCTTATATAATACACCAATAACATAATAATTGAGGCCATGAGAACAAAAGTGGTGTAACCTACAAGTTTACAAAATGTGTTTTTTTCGCGTAACGTAACTCTATATAAAACTTAAAGAAATGTCTCAATAGATGGTTATAACTGAAAGCTGCTATGAATTCATAAACAAGTGAAGTAATTAAACAAAAAACAACAAAATTTTATTATAACTATTTTTTCGATTGTTTTAATATGATGCTTACACCACTTTTGTTCTCATGGTCTCATATATAATATAATAATACCAATACAATAATAGTTTATAATATAACAATACCAGTATACAATATTTAGCAATGTATCAGATTCTACATACTAATCATTCAGAGAAAATAAAAATTTAAATTTAAATTTAAACAGCAAAAAATCAAAGGATCAAAATGTGATAAAAAAAATAAGTCAAAATCAGACAAATAAAACCTCTATGTTAATTATATATGCTAAAAATACCAGAATAAAATTACACACAAAGTATAGTAAGAAATTTATATATTCAAAATATGTTTTTAAGTTTAGACTTATAACTTACCTCAGTTCTGTCAAGAGCAATATTCATTGTACCACATTGACTTGATATATCTACTGATACAAATGGACTACCAATACGACCATCCCTTGAATCACATTCCTCTTTTGGTTTGATCTCTAAATGAAGAGCAAAGTAAAAAATAAAACTTTTTCTATCATAAAAGAAATTCATTGAAATAAACATCAATGATGATGATGATGATGATGATGATGATGATGATGATGATGATGATGATGATGATGATGATGATGATGATGATACTGATGATCATGAGGATAAATTTTGTACATTTTACAAAATTGTTCAAATTAATAATTCTTTCAGATATTTTGAAAATATAAATGTTTTAAAGGAATATGGAGTAGCAAACAATATTGGTGCAATATTGTTTATATAGTTTAAATACTGTAAACAATATAGTGCCAATATTGCACCAATATTATTGCTACTTAAAATATTTATCATTTTAATATTATCTCACATAAACAATATAAAATAATGACTTATAAATTGCCTATCTATGTAAAATGTAATGACATAAAAAATATTTAAACTTCTTTTAAATATATTAAAGATTAAAAAACTTTTTTTAAATACTTAGCCATTTAATAACAGTATAATAAATAAACAATAAATATAACAATGTAATAAATAAACAATATTGTTATTAATTTCATATATTGAGTATTTATTTCAATATTGTTATTAATTTCATATGTTAAATAATATTGTTATTAATTCAGTATTATCAAAATTTGCTTTTACTCTTGATATTTTTCTGATATATTTTTTTTAATTATATTTTCCAAATAATATTTTCCAGTTATAATATTTTATATTTTTATGATTTTTTATAATATTTTCTGATATAATATTTTTAGGTTGTAATTTAAGTTGTTAAAAATTTTTTTTTTAAATTAACTAAGGAAAAATTCATCAAACAGATCAGATACTTTAATAAAACAAGATGCTTCCACCAAGTTATCAAGAAAAAAAAAAGGGATTCAAAATTATCAAAATTCTTGTAAATAATTATTTGTGGTATGTTTAAATTTGATTTTTTTTAAATGTTCTATTTAAATGCTCCTATATGAACCCAACTTATTAAATTGTCTTATGATAACTTTTATCAAAAATTTAATTTTTATATATAAAAAAAGATGACTTAACAGAGGATCTTTAGTTTAGAGGAAAGTGCTCCAGTTACGATTGCCTACCTCTTTATTATATGGTACATATACATACATACACTAACTTTTATATAAAAAATGTTTAAGTTGCTTAGAAAATCTGTTTTAAATTACTAAATAAAGAATTCAATAATAACTATATTTCAAACTTTAAACTATTTGGAATAATATATCCAGCACGGTCAACACAATAATCAAACAATGAAGACAGACTGTTTAGATGGTTGTGTATTAAAAAAAAATTACCGTTTTGTGATGCTGCAACAACATAACGAATATGTTCTTGTAGATTGCTAAAATCGAGTTCGGTCCTAATTAAAAACAAGATAAACATAGTGTTATTAATATATACATATTATGGCTCAGATTAACAATAATTTACTTTGTAAATACCTATGGTTTAAAGCACTAAAGTATTTTTATTATTAAAATCTGTGGTTTAAAGTACTAAAAATTTTTTAGTCAAAATGTTTAACTGTAAAATACCTCAGACCTTTTTTAGGTTGGCAATTAGGATCCTATTAAGAGGAATCTGTATATTAGGGTAAATTATACTTAAAACTTTTAAAAACGACATTTGGGGAGTAATTTTATTATGGGTCGGGGTAAGTAAAACAACATCAACCAAAAAAAAATGTTTTTGTATAAAAACCAATTTGAAAAATGCAAAAAAAAACAAAAATTAAAACTCTAAGTCAATGTAGCAGGTAGCAAGCAAATAACATCAATGTATCAATGTAACAAGCACTGCAGTTGATGTAGCAGCAGTCTTTGCATGTTTTATCTATTTGATAGTCGATATATGTACTACCCTTGTATGTTTTACCTATTTTCCAGTCAATATATGAAAAACAAAGAGTAAAGATTTTGCTTCTAACATAATATGCCTGTAACTTAATATGTATGTATATAAAATATTTATATTATCAACTATTTTATTGGTATAACGTAATTTTTATGCCCTTTGAAAAAAAAATTTTAGGGTAGATTTGGGATTTTTTCAGAGGTGATTTTTCTTGGGGGATTTTTTTTCCTAGAGAGTTTTTTCTTGCCACCATGAGCTAACACACATGAGCAAACTCTTTAGATGGTTTTGTTTAATTGCTTTTATTTGACTTTAGTTGTTTTCATTTTTTGCAAAACATTCTTATTTGACATAAGCATGAATATATTTAAGCTTGGAGTTGCAAATGGCTGAAGATGTCAAGTGAAACAAAAAAATTATGTGGGTGCCCATGGACAAATATAACTCAAAAGTCAAAAGTGGAAGTGAACTAAACAGGGACACAATAAAGATGTGAAATTTTGGAAATCGGTAAGTTGGTATATTTTGATCAAAAATGATAAATTAAATACCACATTCTATAAAATAACAAAAGACTAGTGCAGATATTTAAGATGTCCTTTTATATATTTTTTTGACAGGTCTGCTTCAGCAATAAAAGCACATTTGAAAACTTTAAAGAATAAAGCTTTATTTGTGCATCATTGTCTTGAAGAAAAAATTCATCCTGACTGTGTCATTTAGGCTGTTAAGCACCCTACAAAAACGACACATCTGGTCAGTCATCAGTGGCAAAGATACTGAACGTCTGTACATGGTAAATGGTATAATGAAGTAAGATCAATATAAAGATGTCCTAGAAGATTTAGCTTAGAGAATGGCATTTAAACGAGGAACCATTTATTTTTATGTAAGATAGAACTCCCTACCACATAGCACAGTCGGCAAAGCAATAAAATACGGTAAAGAGATTATTAGAGGTCTAAGTAGCAAAAAACTAACAAAACAAATAAAACTATAATAAAACCTTAACCAGTTAGCCAATTTTATCTTACAATACAGTAAAGCTTTTTTGGGAGAACAAAATATCTTTCTGTTGGATTGGCCTGGTAATTGGTAATTGGTAAATAACAAAAAAAAAAAAAAAAATGAAAATAAAGAAAATAAAAAAATTATAGATAAATATACATATTTAAATATTCAGGTAATCTTAAACATAAAAAAAAATTTGTTTGAGTTGTTCTTTAAGAAAATTATAATAGTATGCATATTGCTGTAAGTCCAGACTTCAAATTGTAAAAATAAATAAAAAATAAAAAATTACGTACAGAACTGGAAATACCCCTATATTACATTTCTTTAAAACTAAATTTAAACTTTTAAAACCATATTTAATTCAAATTCTTAAAAAAAAAATTTTTTTTTAAGACAATCAGATTCTTTAAAAAAAAAATTCACAGTTGCAGTAAATGCTTTTTTTTATGACTTGATATTTTCTGAATAAATATCATATAAACATATTTAAATACTCCAATAAATCAAAAAGTTTTTGCTTTACATTAAACTGCTGAATGCTCAAATCGCAAGAAAATGAGAGTTGACTGTAGATCTGCATTCATATTGTGACAAGAAAAATATTTTATTAGTCAAACAGCAAAAAAAATAAATGGTTTCAAGTTCAATAGTTAAGATAATTATAAAAAAGAAGAAACTGGAATTGCAGTCAATCTAGAAAGAGGATGTTGTCAAATTACATCTGTGACCCAAGGCAGAACAATTCCAATTACTAGTAAAACAAATAGATTATTAACAGCTGGAAACTGGAAATGTTATTAGGACCAACAAGTTGAAGTTTCAAATATTTGGTTCCAAGAGAAGATTGTTTGTCTGAAGAAAAGTTGGTCAACAGATAATAAAACAATGTGTGTTACCAGCTGTGAAACATGACGGGGGGCTGTTTTGATGGAAATACTATAGATGACGTTGTTAAAACAAAGGAAAAGATGATAAAAGAAGTGTATTTGGACATTTAATCGAATTATTGGAAAGCCATTTATTTTTAAAAAAGATAATGATTATAGATTAATAAAAAAGCTACAAAACTTTGAAAGAATTACATGAGTGAGTAAGAGAATGATACTTATAAAAAATACTATAATAAAATATAATAATTTAGCCTTCCCAATCATCAAATATCTCTCCTATTGAACTTTTATGCGATAAACTAAAAGAAATGTAAAAAAACTAATGCCTAATGGTGCACAGGATATGTGGAAAAAAAATAATAGTGTGTGACATAAAACTGATATCATCAAATTGGAAAGGTTTTTAAGTAGAATGCCAAGAATATGTCAAGTGATTATTGCTGCCAAAGGTGGTTACATAGATGAGAGTAAAATATAAAATAATTTATTTTGATTTTTTAATTTTATTATGCAAAATTAATCATTAGTAAAATAGCTTATTTTTCTGGTCATTTTTGCTTCAGTTTCTTTACCTATTGTGAGTAAAACTTTGATAACTTTCAAAAATATTACCATTCGAATAAATATCGACAGTAGTGTGTGTGTGTGTGTATGTGTGTGTGTGTGTGTTTATTTATATATATATATATATATATATATATATATATATTTATTTATTTTTTTTTTTTTTTTTTTTTTTTTTTTTTTTTTTTGTGTGCAAATGTTGGCTCTCAATTTCTCAATGGGTTCTATATAATAAAATATTTAAATAATTTTAAAATTTTTTGAATAAAAAGTAACTTTAGGGGTCGCTCAATATCCTAAAACATCAGACTAATCTTATTTAAAAAAGTTCTTCAAAAGTATATATTGTTGGATCTCAAAAGAAGTGAAATTATGTAAAAATTTTAAATATAATCATAAATGTTTAATAGCTTTATTAAAAAAATATTAATTTAGATTTTACTATCTAGAAAATGACATTTTTTAACTAAAAATGAAAAATATGCATTCTTACAAAAAAAATTTATTATAATTTTTTTTCTCTAAGTTTTTTTTATAAAAATGATTTTTGTTACTTATATAAAATAATGTTTGCTACTTATGACAACAACAATATTGTTTACTTATGACAAGTTTAATATTTATTTAAAAAATCTTGTTATTTATTTATTAGGAACTCACCTTGATGATGCAAAACCAACCTCTGCAGTTGGAAAAATACTTCGGAGAAATTGATCTTTTGCCATATTCTATTAATATTGTTTTTGTAAATAATTTTTACAAAAATTATTTTGCTCAATTGTGTCTATGATTTAACAGAGGAATGTCATCTATTTACCTTTTTTTATAATAATTTTTAATATTTCACTTAAAATAGAAATAAGAAAACATCTTTTCTGTATTTACTTTTTTAAACTTATCTATTGTTAGAACAATAACAACAAAATTTATTATTATTATCATTATTATTATTATTATTATTATTATTGCTATTATTATTATTATTATTATTATTATTATTATTATTATTATTATTATTATTATTATTAGTATTATTATTATTACTATTATTATTATTACTATTATTATTGTAAATTTTATGTTATTATTTTATTTGAAAAAATACTTAAGTAATATATTATTATTAGATTAATATTTAAAAACCACCTCCTCGTCATCTAAATATCTTTTTCAATAATTAATTACAATGCTTCTTTAAAATATTTATTACCATATAAATATTTATTACCATATATATCAAAAAAACATTTCATCTTTGTAAATGTCGGTCACATTTTTAAATATAAACCAAAACTACTTATCTTCACAATTCATTAAATATTTTACTTTTGCAAAAGAAATAAAAAAGTAGAAAAAATACTGACCAAGCAATTACTTCACTATATTACAAGCATTTATTATGAAAATGAAGCTAAAGAACATAATAAAAAAATGGTAAAAATGTAAAATTCTTCAAAAATTTTCAAATGTTCTTTACATAAAAAAGATATATAAATATACAAATGCAAATGTAATATGCAAATATTTCAAACATTAAAATTTGTAAACTAAAATAAAAATTAATTAAAAAAATAAAACTGCTATTTGAGCTTATAAACTTATACTCAAATAAAATATATTGTTAGTATATTAAAAAGAAAAATTGAAAAGAAGAAAAAATCTAAATGTAATAACACTCTAAAAAGATTTTTTTAACCTACACCTGTGAAACAAAACAAAAAAAAATTTGAATGAAAAAGTTTTCTATAAAACAACTTGATTTTAATTTAAAATATTATTTTCATTTGGGAGATGAAGATCTGTCTTAGAAGAACTGCTTGCAATACGCACAGATATATCATTTCCTTGTGAATCTGTTTCAATAGTTTTGCTTAATACATTTGAGCAATTAGGGTTAGCATTATTCATAGTGTCACAGCACATTGATTCCAAACAATTTTCTTTGTTACATTTGTTAAAACACTGCTTGAGAATATCAGAACTTATTACAGTGTCAACAGGCAGAAACTCTGGCTGAAACGTCATACAGGTGATCCCTTCATTTAAAAAAAATGTTTTCACTGCTTGGCGGCTGGACTCGTACTCTTCAGGTGTTTCAAACAAAATGTGTGCTGAAGCTGTATTAGGATATACCACAAGAATTTTTAAAAATTATTTTTCATTAACTTTTTACTCCCTAAAGACCCATTTATAAAAATTGTTGTTAGGTCTTGACAGGGTTATAAAATACAAAATACTAAATGCTTATTCAAAAGTTTTGACTTATAAACTACTAGTAATGCAGGTGTGTGAAGCCCTTAAAATGACCCTGGTTTTGAAAGTCATAAAATCACAGTTTATTTTTGGTCTTGGTTATTCAAGAGCTCCAAAAACTTGAGAGACTAATTGACTATATTGATAAAACATATTAGGACATTTAGAGTACAAAAACAGACTTTTGGACTTCAAGCTCAAAATATTAGATTTCTAATATAACATTACAATTATTAAAGATCCATTAAAAAGATTGTCTGCAAGAAATAATTTTACTCTTCAACTACATCATTTGTGTTTGTCCCTACAACCTCATTTGTCAAGGTTTGTATTTCGAAGTTAAAGGGTGGAGAGCGGGTTGTAACTATAGTTACTAACCATACAGTTACCGGCAAATATTCTTTAAAATTCAGATTTCAAAATTTTCTCAAAGGCAAAGTTGACTTCAACTTTGAATTAAAATAGAAATTTGGCTTTTAGTTAACTTTGGAAACACATCCAAAATTTTATTTAACTTTCAGTTAAATTTGGAAGTTATTAACTTTTATCAATTAAAAAAAATTTATAATTATAATATGATGCGTTATAAATAAAGGTTACCAAAAATTAACAATCATTAACCAAAAATCTTCTTTAAGCACCAAATCTTATTAATTCATCACTTATTAAATCTTATTTTCTGCTATCAAAAAATCCGATAGGTAAAAAACAGGTGAATATTTTTAACATAAAATTTTTCACAGTTTTTCTCCTTTATAAAGTTGATTTTTGAAAATTTTCAATGATCATGGTTACTTTTGTTATTACTTTTTGAAAAACTTTAATAGTTATAAAAATTACATAACTTGATTTCTGATTATTGCTGTATTTTTAGATTTTTAATTATCGTTTTACAAAACAACAACACCACTCTTTCACACACCACTACTAATTTCAGGCAACAGACATCTTTTAAAAGTTGCCTGTTGCCTAAAAAAGTTTCACATAAGTTTCTTCTTGGAGCCAGCATGATGGATACAATGTATAATTGCCTCAAAAAATAAAAAAGTTTCAAGAGTTTAAATATTCTGTATTTAATACCCTGTAATCCAAATGTAGTACATGCCAGACAACATTTTTGAAGCTCCTTAATCCAAAGACCGTGAATAGTAATTTTGAGATTCAAAATTAAAGTCAATTTTGGAACTTCACATCTTTGATATAATGTACTAACCTACAACTTGCCCATCACCTAAAGCCCAGATGTGAAACTCATGGATTGATAAAACACTGCAAATTTTATTCATTAGCCGCTCTTCCAAATCTTTAACCTTTAGATTGGCAGGCACAGATTGCATAAATAAAATCAAAGTCTCGCGAAAGAGTGGAATGGTTGAATGAAGAATTAAAAAAACTAGCATAACAGTAAAAATAGGATCAATATACTTTGTAAAAGAATGTTTGAAATAAATAACAAATATTGCTGAAATAATGACAATAAGCGAAGAAAGAAAATGTTCAAGAATATGTAAATAAACGCCTCTTATATTTAGTGTGTGAGGAGACTGATATTCTGCAGCCCATGTTGGTTCTTTGCCTTGAACACTTTCTACAGTTAAACAAAACAAATTTAAAAGTTATTTTTAACTAAGCGCTCAGATAATATATATATATATATATATATATATATATATATATATATATATATATATATATATATATATATATATATATATATATATATATATATATATAATATATGGTATTCTACTATTTTTATTTCAATTTTACATCATATTTCAGCTCATAGAGCGAGAGCCATTATCAAACTAATATAAACATTTTGATTAAAAAAAAAATCCAATTAAAAAATTATTATGAGCATAACAAAATGATGTCATTGCAACGTCAGATATTTAACATTTTTTAATTTTACAAAAAGTGGTTTCCAATGGTCATCACGAAATTACCATTGTCACGATTTAAAAATTTTTCTTGTGTAATTATTTGAAACAACAGAAAGCATTTTAGGGTTTTCCCAGTTTATTCCACTATTACAATGTTGTGTTTGTTCCACTATTCCAGATGCAATCCAGTTGGCTTCTGTAACATTACTTTTATGCTCTTGAAATTGTGTGGAAATCATATGCAACCAAGTTGGTACAATCCTAGATGACTATTTGTTTAGACTTATTATCGCAAAGTATAATGATTAGGAGATGACCAAAACGGAGAATTGTTTTAACACCAACTTTATGAAATTCCCTTCTAAGAACTAGGCTTAATCTTGAGACCCACAGTAAAATAACTAGATTTTTGGTAACAATTTTTGGGGAATATTTATAATTTTTAGCAATATCTGAATATTGTTTATAGAAGTGTCCATTTTCAGTAAAAATCTTATTAAAAAATTGATTTTATCTTGAATATTATGTTCTGAACAACTTTTGTATGCTCTAGCTAAAAAACCTTTAAAAATATCAACTGCAATTCTTGGTTAAATGGATATATGCAGTAGAGGTGTAGTGGTAAGAACGCTTGCTTTGTTAGCGAGAGGTTCGGAGTTCAACTCCTACCACGTCCCTGGAAGTACCGCGCTCAACTTAATTTCTCCGTGCAGCAGCCTTGCTTGTCAAGGTTCGTGTTTCGGAGTTAAAGAGTTGAGAGAGGGTTGTACCACGATTTACAACAACAATAAAAAAAAAATTAGTAGCCTCCTCAACTGTCCTCCTCGGGCCTAAGGGAGGTGAATAATTAAAAAAAAAAAAAAAAATTTTTTTTGTAAGTAAATTTGTAATTGCATCCTTATTGTGTATGGAAAACTCATATTTGTGAAGGGAACAGTTGGTTAAAAAAAATCTAAAATCTAAAAATCTAAAAAATTTAATTGGTGCTAAGCATTTTCATATTTGCATTTATATTGGATAGATTTATTTTGTGAACTTAAGTATGAAAAAAGAGTTTGTTTCATCAAAACTAGTAAATCGAGCATCAACATAAAATTTATAAGTTTTGGTGCAATGTTTTAAGCCTGTTGAATAACATTAGATTCAGTAGATATGCTTGACATGACGAACATTATGAACAGACCTATTGGACAAGAGATTTTTAAAATATATATTTTGTCTTCCATAAAAAATAACATTTACTATTACAGAGATCAATTAGTTTATTATATCTACTAAAGATAATTTAGTTGGTTGTACTAGTTTATCTCTATGTTTGTTTAACATATCAACAATTTTAACAGTTGCTTTATTAAGTGGCACTGATGGGTATAAATTAATAACGTGAAATGAGACTTGAACTTCGTTGCTAATAAACCATTCTTTTGCTGTTGACACAAATAAAGACTAATTTTTAACACAATATTCATTTTTATTTAAAGTTGGTTGTGTGATCTCAATAAGATGCTGCAAAAGTTTAAAAAGGGATGCGCTGATTGTTTAAACTATTGTTTGCATTGGATAACATTTTCCCCATTCTTTTTGTGTGTTTTAATACAACCATACAAACAAGGCGGAATTGCATCTAAAGGTATACATTTTACTATGTTTTTTTATTTAATTTTTTGTCTTTTTTTTAACGGATTTATTAGTTTGATAATGGCCCTCTCTATATGAGTCAAAATATCAGGTAAAAAAAAGAAAGAAATACTATTATACCGTATATGATGTTTAAAAAAAATATAAGCATTATAAAAATATAAAAATATTTTTATTAAACACACTATTAAGATGTCATTTAAATTTTATATATATATGTGTATATTTATATATATATATATATATATATATATATATATATATATATATATATATATATATATATATATATATATATATATACTATAACATATTTATGTAACAAATATGTATCATATTTTTGTTACATTATTTAAATATGAATTTCCAGAAAAAGAAGAAAAAAACAAAGAATAATAAAAGAAAAGATTGCTGCCCCATACCAAACCCTCAGTTGATGTAGCAGCATTCGGCTGCGAGTTAGGCTATTTGTCAGTTGATGTATGCACTGAAGCCCCCGGCAGCAGGCTATTTCAGTATGATGTCATACTGCTCACTTAAACCAGCAGTATAAGCCGTAAAATTTCAAAAATTATGTTCATTTCGGAAAAAACAATACGTACTTAAACGATACTTTTTTTTTTTAACAAAATCGGCAATTTTTTTACAGAAAATTGTTTTTTGTTTAGGCAAATATTGTATATTTTAAGGGAAATATCGTTACCTATCGTTTTTTCCGGAATGAACATTATTTTTGAAATTTTTATATAATTTCGGTTCATTTGAGTACCAGGTTGACATAATTTTTAAAAACTTTTTTTTTGAAAATATTAGGGACCCATTAAATATTCGAGGGTCTTGAGGGACCCTTTAAATTATTTTTTTATTGAAAAAAAATTTAAACTTAGTGTTTTTGTATTAGATAGAACACATTTAGGGGGTGAGAGCAGATTATTTTTAAAAAAGTTGTTTTTTGGGACACCCTAATATATATATATATATATATATATATATATATATATATATATATATTAGGGGTAATCATTATAAGGGAATTTTTGAAAACGAAGTACATACCCAGCTAAAGTTAGAGCAAATATGGTAAAAATATAGGTATTTGTCTACCTCTCTTGCATCCTAATAAGTGATCCTTTCTTAGAACCAGTATTACTTGAAGTTGTATCAAAGCATACTTTTCATACTTTAGAATTGATGTCATATTCTTCTAGTATTTTCATAATTCCTATATACATTTCTTCAGCTGAAGAAGACGGCAAGGCAGGTACTCCAAGAAGATGTGATAACCCCTCAATGTTAACAAGCACAGCTAATCTTTCATTCTTCAGTCTTTTTCCCTGATTCATTTCAAACAAAGTCTTTCAGTTAAAATGAATTATACAGGAAAAACAGCCTTTATTCACGGCCTTCTATATATCTAACTTAGCAATTTATGCAGTATCCTCTGCAGTTTTTTTTCACTCTCTCAACCCTCTCTATTTTGGTTAATGAGCTTTCATATCTAATTTAGTAAATAAAAGGGTTGGCTAATCAGAGAGTGAGAGACTGGTTGTTATTTCCACCCCAATATGGGCACACCCAGTCCTCGTTTAAGAATTTTGAAAACTTTGCCAAAATGTTAATTGTTGTCAATGATCATTCTGAAAGAGCAATCGGAATGATGCAGCAGTTTGTACAAAGATACGAAAATGAAGATGACAAGCAGAAGACTTTTAATTGTTGACACAGTAAGGTTAACTTTCAAGGTTTTTGGTGTGAATAAAAGTAAAATCAGAAAGTCTGATATCACTATCTAAACTAAAAAAAAAGGAAACTGTAGACAGAAAATTGTTATTCATTTTAAAATACTTATTTCATTTAATGCATAATTTTTGTCTTGATAGTGTTTGTAAAGATTTTTATTAAATTGTAAATTAATTATTTAGTTCAAAATAGTTTTTTTAGGTTGATTTATGCACGAAAAAAATTGGAAAAAAAAGAGGGGGTAAGGGCACAAGGCTTCGTCCCCCATCCTTCCTCATCACAAAGACTGATTAAGTTTCATGAAAATCTGTCATTTAACAAAAAATTTTAAATCGGGTTCAATTTTTTCAGCTGTTCATCTAAATGAACTTTGAGTATGAAAATACATGTATTGATTTCATAACCACTTGCATAACTTAAACTTTTCATTTTTTAATTTCTTAAATATTGTTTTAACAAAGAATATATAAAAAACATGATGACAAACCCTTTTAAAATGAAAATATAGATAACAAATAAAAAAAAATTTTAAAAATGGAAATAATTTTTTCATTTAAATCCCCCTCAAACACCCTGAACACAACTTATTTTTCCTTTTTTGAAGTACAATTTCTGAACAACTTTAGTCTTGAGAGGGACTTAAAGGTCATTTGATTGACCTAAAAATATTTTTGACAAAGTTTTACCATATTTGCTGGGTATGTACTTCATTTTCGAAAATTCTCTCAAAATGATTACCCCTAATATATATACATATATATATATATATATATATATATATATATATATATATATATATATATATATATATATATATATATATATATTATATATATATATATATATATATATATATATATATATATATATATATATATATATATATATATATATATATATATATATATATATATATATATATATATTTCTTACTAGTTTAGCTAATCTTTAAAGCTTTTTCAGGAGAAAAAAGAAAAAAATTGAGAATAGAAAAAGAAAAAAAAAAAAGATTGCTGCTCCATCCCAAACCCATTGTCACACTGCTTGTCTTGCAATTTTGACTTTAATACTCATAAATAAACAAAATATATATATTTGGTATTAAGGTTGACTCTATAAATGCAGTCTTTTATCTTAACACTTTTTTTTAACTATGAAAAAACAAAAAAAATTTTGTCACAATATGTCCATAATAACTTGTCTTTCAGGGTTCAAGTCTTTCTTAAACCTACCCAACAATCAATGCATCAGGCTTGGCCAGAAAAACATGCGATTTCAGGCTGTAATATGATCATGCAAATACTATTTGATTTTAAAAGCTTGA